AGGCGGTCAGTAGCCCTTGCCCGCCCACCTGATCGCGCAGGGCGGTATAGAAGTTCCGCCGGCTACGGGCTTCGATCGAGCACAGGCGTCAGTAAGCTTCCGCCCTTACCTCGATCGCACAGGAAGCGGTCAGTGAAGCTTAGGCCCGTCGGCAGGCCTCGATCGCAGCAGAGCGGTCAGTAAGCTTGCCCCCACCGTGATCGCAGCAGGCGGTGTCAGTAGCTTTCCCGCCACCTTGCGATCGCAGCAGGACGGTTCAGTAAGCTCCCCTCCACCTCGATCGCGGCTAGCAGGCGGTCAGTTAAGGCTTGCCGCCCACTCTGCGATCGCACAGGCGGTGCAGTAAGCTAACCCGACTACCTCGATCGGGCAGGCAGGGCGGTTCAGTAAGCTTTCGCCCACCGTGCGATCGCACAGAGGCGGTCAGTTATAGCTTCCCCCCACCTCGATCGGGCAGCAGGCGGTCGAGTAAGCTTGCGGCCGGCCATCGTCGTGATCGCCGCAGGCGGTCATAGAAAGGGGCTTCCGCCCACGCTTCGATCGGCAGCAGGCTTCGGTGCCGTATAGCTTCCCGCCACTCGTCGCACAGGCGTCAGTAAGTCTTGCCCCACCTCGATCGCACAGGCGGTCAGTAAGCTTGCCGCCCACCTCGATCGCGCAGGGGTCAGTAAGCTTCGCCCACCTGCCGATTCGGCAACCGCGCGGACGCATTGGAGGAGGGTCGGGAGCGGGCGCGCGGCGGGCGTGTCGGGCGCCACTGACGTTACGGCGGCTCGTGTGTACGTCACTACGAATGCGGGCGAATGCCTATTGGCGCACGTGGCATGCGTCCTAGCAAGCGAGCGATGCCCGATGAGGATCGAAGATTGGACGGATGACGCGAATGGACGACGTACGACGGCGGCTGCTGCTGTGTTTGAGGCGGGGCTGTCCTTTGGCAAGCGTCGATGGCGTCGCGGGGGAATGAGGGCGAGCAGCGAACGAAAGAACTCGGGCCTACTCATCGCGCATGTTGATTGTCGGCACGACCGAGAAGCGACGACAGAATCCGCGAAAACAACGCAGCAACAATGTTGCGCATGCGCGCTCCGACGGCTATCATATATATAATTACACACGAGGAAATAAAGTATCTAGGAAGTAACTGTCAGCCGCTATTATTGTGCACGTAGACGTTTTTCTCGTGGTGAGTGGGGAGACGCACCGTTTGGCTCAGCCTAAAGTGTGTGGCAAGAGAAAGGACGCGTCTCATAGCATGGTAGGGATCGTGTCGGGCGACATGCGGGTCGGGCCGGCAGGTGGGGGCGGCGGCGTACAGTTTTCTGCACGAGTGTGCAAGCGGCTAGATGGCGCTGCGGCTACCGAGACGGCAGAAGGAAGTGGCTATCAAACGCTGCCTGCAACGCAGGCCCCAAATATAATAACCAACACAAGAAAAGCAGGCTTGTATGCTTATCACATGATATCGGCTGCCGAGTATCACTGAACGGGATAAGGATAGCGTCGGGAGTTGCTAAAGCAGAAGTCGAAGAGTATATGAAACATCAGTCCCGTGTGCCGGTCGGCGGGGAGGGGGAGGTGGAGGGGGGATAGGAACGGGATAGGGGGGCTTCAGCGAAAACCCGCGCCCTTGTATACCGCAAGAATCAAACCCCGCAGCTTACGGTGTACCGTAAGCTGATGTCGGTCGTGCAAAATAAGCAGGAATAAAATGCTAACAACAACAAGAGCAACAGTTTTTATCGCCCGGCGCGCACGCGAGCGGTGGTCGGCCACCGCGCTCGGGGAGGCGGCGGAACTCAGCTGTCGCGTACGCGGAGGCTGAGAGGCATCACAACACCTGGCGGGCAGAATCCGAAGGCCAGAGCGTGGGCGGAATGCTCACTGCGTTACATGCAACGACGAGAGTAGAAGTGTCTCACATCGATTCTTCCAATGGGGAAGGTGAATCCTGCGCTTCGTGTCACTCGGTCAACGGAGGACAAGAAATGGCGTGCGCTTAGAAACGCGAGAAGGATTGCCTACGTGTCTGTTGGCACCGCACTCGACAGCGGCGGGTGGACGGCGAGGCACGCAGCGCGGCCGCCGGCGCGCACCGGTGCCGCTGAGTGGGAGAACTTCACTGCAGCTGTCGACGGACAATGTCATCGTGATTTGCGTCGCTAGACGAGACGTCGCTGCATTTCAGAGCAGTGAGCATGCAGTCACATTGTCGCGCCCGCAATGTGTCACGCACCGTATTTCATCACGAACGTCGGTTCCGCAACTCTCCCCGTGATCGCTACAGAGGTAGTCACAATGACATCATGTGGTTGGGGCCACCAGTATCGTGTCAAGCTTCGATTCGAATGCTGCTTCTCACTGTCTTCACGGTGGATGGCGTTGGAGCAGTGAGCTCGATGTACGGACTAAGCAAGAGATGGAATTGAGCTTGCGAAAACACGGATGCTGTCTGGAGAGGGAACTTTCTACGTATCTCTCGAACGTGCTTATTGACGGGATTCATCGCGCAGCGTCCCGGAGGGCTAACTACGTATCCAGTGAGCAGACGCCAACAAGGGGCGACACACACCGCTGTCGTTCCTCGCGGTGGCCGTCGCACTCCACTGGCAGTCTGTAGAGAATCAAAAACGTTTTAGCCTGTTATCAGAACATTTCATCAGCACACTGTGCATTTTTAAAGAGGTGGCGCTTGCCCGTCGGCTCTCGAGCAAGCACGGTGTACGGCGAGAGCGGACGGGTCTGTCGACGCACCTCTTGCTCGGCCAGGCGTGCCCAAAAGCGCGACAGGCGGCAAGTTTAAGACCGCGAGGCGTCGCGGTACGGCTGACGAGGCTAGCCGTAAGTGAAGCGAAATAACCAGAAAAAGGAGAAAAACAAGGACGAGACGAGCGGTGGGGTTAGGGGAGGTGAGAGGTAGAGGGTGGGGGAGGAGAGGGCGAGAGAAGGGGGGGGAGGAGAAGGAGAGGAAGGGTGGAGGAGGGGAAGGGAGGGATGAGAGTAGGAGTGGGGTGAGGGGAGTGGGATGAGCGAGACTGGGCGAGGAGGAGGGAGAAAGGAGGGGTGGGGGAGGAGAGGGAGAGAGAGAGGATGGGGGAGAGCGGCGAGAAAGGGGAGGATGGAGAGGGAGTGTAGAGAGACGAGAGGGTGGTGAGAGGGGTGGGGCAGGGGAGTTTAGCAGTATGGTGGGGGAGTGAGCGGAGGTGGGGTTAGGGGAGTGACCGGTATGAGGTTTAGGGGAGGTGAGAGCGGATGAGGGTAGGGTGAGCGGAGGGTAGGGGAGTGAGGGCGGATGAGGGTGTAGCGGAAGTGAGGTGGGGATGGGGGTAGGGAGTTAAGCAAGATGGGGGTAGGGGAGTGAGCGGGATGGGGGTAGGGGAGTGAGCGGGATGGGGGTAGGGGAGTGAGCGGGATGGGGTAGGGGAATGGAGCGGGCCTGGGGTAAGGGAGTGAGAGGGATGGGGGTAGGGGAGTGAGATAGGATGGTAGGGATAGTGAGCGGATTGGGTAGGGGAGTGAGCGGGATGGGGTCAGGGGAGTGAGGCGGGATGGGGGTAGGGCAGTACCAAAGTGGACGAGAGAGGGGGGCTAGTGAGCAGGATAGAGGGGATGGAGAATTGGAGCAGGATACATACTAATGATGAAGGGCGACAAGCGAATTTATACACGTGGGGTAGGAAAGCAAACGCTCGATGACTGAGAAAACGAAAAAGAAGAATATACGGCTCCGGTGCGGTCGTCCAGCGGCGAGTAATAGATAGGGCAGTCGAGGAAATAAGATGCACTAATAACGCATACAACACGAAATAATGAATAAACTAGGGGACGCCGCGCGGGTGAGCGCCTGGCGGGCGGGCGCGGGTAAACGTAAACACGTACGTAGAGTGGTGGCGCAGGGGTGCGAAAGGCCGCCTGCTCAGTCAAGATAAGAAGCGTGACTGGGCCTAGCATTCTTAAGACTAGCAGAGTTTCGCTAGCGTCAACGGCTAAAGCTTTTCATAGCAATGTAACCATTGTCGACTAGCCAGGGCAGGTGGATGCCTGCAGAGAAGGGCTGGCCCCGCTGGCGCGGCCTACACGTGGGCTCGCGGCCGACCGGAGGAGGGAGAGGAAAGGAGGGGCGGGGGAAATCTATTAAACTGCAGCTTAGAAGCGAACTTCGCTATGTTTAGCGAGTGGGGCAATTTTGTAACCGTTGAGCCTTAAACTACTGGCGCGCGCACGGCCCACAGGGACCGGCGTTCGGCGTAGGCGCATTCAGCAATGTATAGGAGTGACATGATATGGAGTATGGGTGATAGCTTATACATTACGTGATATAGTGTAACAACATCGAAGAATAAGTGACACTGGGGAAAAGTATGACTGATGATGGTGCGGTGGCGGGCGCAGCCGTTGCTACCGGGGGGCTGGCTGGGCTAATGAACGCGGTCTGCGATTCGTTTAACGAGTCGTCAGCTCATGGGGAGGGCACGGCTGCCGCCGCGCGGCACTGCTTACAACTCCCGGGTGGGCGCGCGTGCGAACAGCCCGCGAAGACGTCGACCATTGTCGGCGGTCGTCGGGAGCTTCGCGTCGCACTCACGACTCGTCCCAGTACAAGCCAGCCCACGCTGTTTCCGCGGGCGCCCAGCGAACCAGCGAAACTCCTATTTAGCACGGCAGCCACATATTCGCACTCAACGCGGTCTGCCTCGTTGCGCGAGGCCCGCTGCGAGCGTCTCCGTCCTCCAGAACCGGCCCGCACCCCACGCCGCGCTGGCGAGCCGACCGGCGGGACGCGCAAGACGCTGCGCTTGGGGAGCGCCGGCGCGCCTTAATTGAGGCGGGCCGACGGCAATCGCCAGGCGGGGGTGCGACGGCGCGCGGAGGCGGAGGCGGGAGGCAGGCGCGGGTGCGGCCGCGGCAACGGCCAGCGTCTGCGCGCAGCTTCGGCGTGACGGGTGGCGGCGCGCGCAGTCTGCGGTCAGGCCGCGCTCCAGCTCGCGGTTAGCTCCGCCTCAATGGGCTGGTTCTGCGGCGCTCAGCTGCTGGCTGCAGGCCGGTAGAGGGCGGCTGAAGTGGCCGTCGTCGGCGGCGCGGCGCGCGAGTCGGGCGAGGCGTGGCGCGACATCAGACAGCGCGTCGCGCATCGCGCGATTCGCTGCCGCGAGCTGCTCATGCGTGCGTGACGCTGCGTCGCTGCTGGCAGGCTTACCTTCTTCAGTCTCGATAGCTTCCTGGAATGCGAGAGAAAGAGAGAGAATGAATACTGCTAAGGTACGGGGACTCCTGGAATGGGCGAGAGAAAGAGATAATGATATAATGGTACGGGCGCCTTGGAAGTGCGAGTACGAATAGAGAGATAATTATATCAAGGCACGGGCCGCCTGGAATGCGAGAAAAAGAGAGGAGAATGATAGAGGCAAGAAGGCACGGGGAGTCTGGATATGCGAGAGATAAGAGAGATAATTATATCTCCAAGGCAGCGGGGCGCCTGGAATGCGAGAGATAAGAGAGAGAATGATAGTCAAGGCAGCGAGACGCCTGGATATGCCGAGAGAAAGAGAGAGAATGATATCAAGGCAAGCGGGCGGCCTGGAATGCGAGTGAAAGAGAGAGAATGATAACAAGGGCAGCGGAGTCTGGAATGCGAGAGTAAAGAGAGATTAATTAATATGCAAGGGCAACGGGGCGGCCTGGAATGCGGAAGAAAGAGAGTAGAATTGATATCAAAGGCACGGGGCGGCCTGGAATGGGGCGAGTGAGAAGAGAGAGAATGATAATCAGGCACGGGGAGTCTGGAATGCGAGAGAAAGAAGATGAGAATGATAATCAAGGCACAGGGAGTCTGGAATGCGGAGAGAAGATGAGAGATAGATTATATGCAAGCAGCGCGCGCCTGGAATGGGCGAGGGAAGGGGAAAGACAAAGAGAGAGATGTGATATCTAAGGGCACGAGACGCGCTGAATGGCGAGAAGAAAGAGAGAGAATGATATCAAAGGCAGGCGGGCGCCTGGAATGCGGAGTACCGAGGATGAGAATGATATCGAAGGCAGCGAGGGAGTCTGAATGCGAGAGAACGGAGAGATAATGGTATCAAGGGCACGCGGGGCGGGCCTGGGAATGCGAGGACGAAAGAGAGAGAATGAATATCAAGGCAGCGGAGACGCCTGGTAATGGGCGAGAGAAATGAGAGATGAATGATTCGAAGGCACGGCGCGGCTGAATAGGCGAAGTGAAAGAGAGAAGAATGATATCAAGGTAGGCGGGACTCGTCTGGAATGCGAGAGAAAGGAGATAATCGGATATCAAGGCAGGGCGAGGGAGTCTGGAATGCGGAGATGATAATTAATATCAAGGGCAGCGGGCGGCCTGGAGATGGCGAGAGAAAAGAGAGAGATATGATATCGAAAGGGCAGCGGGCGCCTGGGAATGCGAGTGAAAGAGAGAGAATGCGGATATCGAGGTGACGGGACTCGCTGCATGCGAGAGAAAGAGAGATAATGATACAAGGACCGGAGGAGTCTGGAATGCTGTGAGAAGAGAGATACTATTATAGTCAAGGCACGGGCGCCTGGAATGCGAGAGAAAGAGAGAGAATGATATCAAGGCACGGGGCGGGCCCAATGGAAGTGGGCGAATGAGAAGAGAGATAATGTATAGTCAAGGGCACGGGGCGCCTTGGAATGGGCGAGAGAAAGAGAGAGAATGATAATCAAGGGCAGCGGGGGCGCGCTGGAATGCTGAGGAGAAAGGTAGAGATATATGAATATCAAGGCACGGGCGCATGGAACGCGAGATGAAAGAGAGATAATTAATCAAGGCATGGGTCGGCATGGAATGGGCGAGGAGAAAGAGAAGAGCATGATATGCAAGTGCACGGGCGCATGAATGGGAGAGAAAAGAGAGATAATTATAGTCAAGGCCAGGGCGCTGGGAATGCGAGAGAAAGAGAGAGTAAATGCTATCAAGGCAGGCGGGGCGAGATGGAATGGCGAGAGAAAGAGAGAGAATGATATGCAAGGGGCAGCGGGGCTGGCGTAACGTGTGCATGCCGAATAAGTCATGGCACCGTGAGAGACGGGGAGGGCGAGTGAGAGTAGAGAGATGGTATAGAGAGATGACAGAGAGAGATAGGAGGGAGGATGTGATAAAGATACCAAAGAGAGAGACAGAGAGAAGAGAGAGTAGTATGAGAGAGTAGAAGAGAGTAGAGAGAAGAGAAGAGAGAGAGAGAGAGAGAGAAGAGAGTAGAGAGAGAGAGAGAGAGAGAGAGAGTAGAGAGAGAGAGTAGAGAAGAAAGCCATGGGGAGCAAGCCGAGAAGAATAAGAGGAGAGAGAGACTAGTTGAAAGTAGAGAGAGAGAGCAGAGAGAGAGAGAGAGAGATGAGAGAGAGAGAGAGAGAGAGAGAGAGATATCAGAGGTAATTGGAGGAGGGGGCAGGGTGAGCTGATGCAGATGATGGCATGATGACGGGGTGAGATGGATGTCACGCGTAATCGTGGCGCGTGAGAAGCGCTTCATCGCGAATGCAGCGGACATTAGCCGTCGGCAGATGAAGCTATTTTCACGGCTCAACGTTTTGTAAATGTCAAGGGGAGAAGGAAGGATTGAAGAACGGAAGAGGACAGGATGCTGAGATGTATGTGGGGACGCTATAAAGGCAGGGCGATGTGGAAAGGAGGAGGATGGAGGAGAAACAGGAGGGCAGGTATTATGCGGATAAAAGGTGATGATGAGGATGATGCGGGACGGTATAGAAGGCAGGGGCGATGTGAGTAAAGGAGGAGGAGGAGGAGAAAACAGGAGGAGGATTATGGCGGATAGAAAGTGATAGATGATGGATGAGTGCGGGGACGTATAAAGGGCAGGGGACGATGTGAGAAAGGGGAGGGAGGAAGGAGAAAGCGCAGGAGGGATGGAATTAGTGCGGATAAAAGTGATGATTGAGGATATGCGGGGACGTAAAAAAAGGCAAGTTGGGACTTACGGAAGAGAAGACGGAGTAAAACAGGGAGGGCAAGAGAAGCACGGAGGGAGAACGAGACAGATGGAGGAGGAAAGGAGGAGGCGCGATGTTACCTCAGGCGCCGGCCGCGTGCTTCTCTGCGGCCGTGCGCGCGTGAAGGGCTGCTGGTCGCGCATCATGCGTGTGGCGTGAGCGAGGTCGCTGCAGCAGCTTGCTCCTTCATTACGTTCCTCAGGCTATTGCGCCGAAGCTGGCTCCAGGCGCACGCTTCAGTACGCGGCTGCCAGGCTCCATGCCGGCAACCGTAGTGCTGTCACTGGTCTCTGCAAGGGTATGAGAACCAGACGCAGCCTGTCAACTGCTGGCGAAGCGACGCATCATGCATCAACGCGTCATCATGCGTCGTCCATCATCGCCTCGCATGGCATGCATGCATCGTCATCATGCGGCCCTCCGATGGCATCATGCTCTCACCATGGCCTGCGAGGCGCTTCCATTATCATGCATCGTCCATCATCATCATCAAGCCGATCATTGCCTGGCCATGCATCGTCAGCATCGCCTCCATCATCCATCGATCGCCATGCAGTGCTGCCCTGCGCATCATGCATGCATCATGGGAACAACATTTGCCGAGTGCGGCATCATGCACCCAATCACGCATCAATCATCATCGTCCGCTCATCATCGGCCTCCTCTATCGTTGTATTCGGGTCGTCAGTGTGCGCTTAAGCATGCATCACCCATTGTCATCATCATCAGTTGTCGTGCGTAGTCATGAAGCGATATAAATCCGGTCGCATCTCTGGCTGTTTATGCAGGGAGCATGTATTACGCAAAACAGCAGCTAACAACGGAGACAACGATGCTAAGCGATATAAGCCGGAGTCATCTCGTGGCAGTTTATGCATAGCTGTAATTGGACAAGCTGTAATTACCAAAGCAGCACTAACAGCTATGACAACGATGGCTAGCGATTGATTAACAGGCGTCATCTCCTGCAGTTTATCCAGCGTGTATTACCAACCCAGCAACTAACAACAGACAACGGATGCTACGATATTAACCCGTCATCGTCGTGCAGTTTTATCACTGTATTGAAAACTGTATTGACCAAACAGCAGACTAAGCAACAGACAAACAGATGGGGGCTACGATTATATAACCGTCGTCATCTCCTGGGCAGTTTACTCGAACTGCTATTGGACAAGCTGTATTACCAAACAGAGCACTAGCACACAGACAACGATGCTAGCGATATTAAACTGCGCGTCATGCCTCGCTGCAGTTTTATCTAACTGTATTGGAAGCAACTGTATTAGCCAAAACAGCTACTAACTGATAGCAGAACAAGCGATGGGCTAATCGATATTAACCCGTCATCTCCATGCAGTTTATCGCTGCGGGACTGCCAGCGCCCGCGACAGCGGTGGGCGCAGCAGAGCTCGAGGCCGCGTACCCGGCGCGAGCGATCCCGTCGAGACACCGGTGCGTCGGGGCGTGTCCGTCGTGGGCCTTCGTAGTGCGGCGGCCGGCGAGCTGACGCTGGCCGCGTCTCCAGCTTCACGGGCCGCCGCAGGCGCGCCGCCGGACCGGTGGGAGCGCCCGCGCGCGCGGACGCGACGCGCGTTGCATGGTGTCCGGCGCCGCGGGCTTCTGCTGATGCTTCGGCTGCCGTCTAGCGTCGAATGCGCTGGTCGTCGCCGGGCAGACGGCCTCTGGTAGGAAAGACGCAGACATCCTAGGGTCAGCGTGGGCGCGCAGAGCAGAGGCGAGAGAGAGAGAGCGGGAGAGAGAGGCGGCGAGAAGCGAGACAGAGAGAGAGAGAGAAGCGATGGCGAGCGTGTTCCCATGAGGAAGCCAAGAGGGGAGGGAGGAGGAGGAGGAGGAGGAGGAGGAGGAGAAGAGGAGGAGGAAGAGGAGGCTGAGGCACTCGCTGTCAGCCGGGTCT